AGAGGTTCCTTTTGATTCTCTGTTCTTGTAAAACGTTTCCGGATCGATTCCAATAATAGTACTTGTTATTAATCCGTGTTTACATCTCGTTCGAACACTACACGTAACAAATTTGGTATCAGAGCGAGTCGATCGCCGGGAAACATGCCTCCGCGTGTTCAGAAAACCGACGAACGTACGGACATGGAGAAGCTATTCGATCAACTCCAGGTGATGACGGCGACTCTCGAGAAGGTGAACGTGTTAGAAGCAAAGGTGACGGCGATGGAAGAGCTCGTGAAGCTTCCCGCGCAGATCGATCACCTCCAGCGGAAGATCGAGTCAATGGACCGCGGAAAAGGGAAAGAGACGGAAACTTCAGAGGAAAGCCCAAACCCGTTGAGCGCCTCGTCGAGCGAGCCATGATCAGGCGAAGAACGAGTGGTCTCGGTAGAAGCGGGGACGCCGATCAGTCAAAACAGAGAAGCACTGACCATGAGAGACGACTCGTTGACCAAAAAGATGGCGATTCCAGAGTTCGACGGAAGCAACGCCGAGGCTTGGATCCTTCGAGTGGAGCAGTATTTCGAGCTCAGTGACTTCACCGAGTCAGAAAAGCTGAAAGCTGTAAGGATGAGTTTTGTGGAAGAAGCTCTGTCGTGGTATCGATGGGCAAGAGAACGCGAGCCCTTCCAAAGCTGGAAGCAGATGAAAGTAAGGGTGCTGAGTCACCAATCGAAGGCGCACAATTCTTCCGCAGGAGCGCGCCTTCTGAAAATGAGACAAGAAGGGACCGTCCGTGAGTATTGTCGAGAGTTCATCGCCTTGGTAACGCTCCGGAGCTATCGGAACAGGTTCTCGAGATGGCGTTTATGAATGGGCTCGACTCTAATATCCGATTGCACGTGCGAATGCTCCGACCCCATAACTTGGACACGATGATGAGTTTGGCTCAGATGGTGGAGGATTGGGAGGAACACGGGAAACCCAGACCGTCACTGAGCTCAGGCGGCGGAGGAGAGGAGCTGTGGCCCACAGGGGAACGAGGCGGACCGATGGTAAACAGAGGGGGACAGAAAACGAGTCATGGGCCAAGTTATAAGCCCAGGCCCAACAATCAGAATATCACAAAATCATCGCCCCCAAAAGGGATCGGGAGCAATAACCTAAAAGGGCACGATCGCCTGAAGCCACCGTTCCGACGATTGACACCGGCGGAGATGGCGGAGCGGAGAGCTAAGGGGCTGTGCTTCAGGTGCGATGAGAAATATGGGTATAATCATCGGTGTGCTCAGGCAGAGCTGCGTGTTATGGTGGTTTACGACGATGGAAGAGAAGAGGAGTGGGTCGACGACTACGACGGCCACAAAGGGGAGGAAGCCGAGCTGGTGACGGAGCTCGCGGAGCTTTCCCTCAACTCCATGTCCGGAATCTCATCCCCAAGGACCATTAAGCTGATGGGGACCATTCAAGGGCTTTCCGTCGTGGTGTTGATAGACAGTGGGGCTTCGCACAATTTCCTGAGCGACTCCGTGGTTAAGCAGTTGGGAATACCAACAGAGATGACCGGGAGGTTTGGCATCCTTACCGGCACAGGGATTACGGTGAAGGGAGCGGGTCTTTGCATGAACGTTGAGCTTGAAATGCAAGGGTATCAGGTGGTCACGAATTTCTTTCCACTGGGATTGGGGGGCGCAGACGTGATACTGGGGGTTCAGTGGTTAGAGACTCTCGGGGATACAAAAAATAACTGGAAGCTTCAGACGATGAGTTTTCAGGAAGGGGGGAAGACCATTAAATTGCAGGGAGACCCGAGCATATGCAGTTCCGCTGTGGCGCTCAAGGCCCTCTGGAAAGCTTGGGAGAGGCAAGGGGAAGGAATGGTGGTGGAGTTTTGTGGTCTTCAGGCAGCTACGGAGGCACCAATCAAGGTTTCGTCGGCGTTAGATGCAGTGCTCGACGAGTATCAAGGAGTCTTCGCGGAGCCTCAAGGCTTACCCTCGTCCCGTGGTAGGGAGCACAGTATCGTGCTTGCCACAGGAGCCGACCCGGTGAGTGTACGACCGTTTCGCTACCCTCAAATCCAGAAGGAGGAGATCGAGAAGCAAGTGAAAGCGATGCTCACGGCAGGAATCATCCAAGCAAGCGGCAGCCCATATTCGAGCCCTGTTCTACTGGTGAAGAAGAAAGACGGGAGTTGGCGTTTCTGCGTGGATTATAGGGCCTTAAACATGTCCACGATCCCTCATAGCTACCCAATACCCATTGTCGACCAGTTGCTCGACGAGTTACACGGATCCAAGGTCTTCTCTAAGATGGACCTGCGTGCGGGGTATCATCAGATCTTGGTGAAGGCAGAGGATGTGCCGAAGACCGCTTTCAGGACTCACGATGGACATTATGAGTTCCTGGTGATGCCCTTCGGGCTCTCGAATGCACCCGCGACATTTCAGGCGCTGATGAATGACATCTTCCGACCCTTCTTACGCCGATTCGTGTTGGTTTTTTTCGACGACATACTCGTGTATAGTCGATCCGGGGAAGAACACCAAGAGCACTTGCGATTGGTGTTGAAGGTTCTGGATGAGCAGAAACTCTATGCTAACAGGAAGAAATGCCAGTTCGGGAGTGAAAGGATTGAATACCTGGGTCACGTCATATCCGCTGAGGGAGTGGCTGCCGATGATGAGAAGATTAAAGCAATGGTGGATTGGCCACAGCCCCGAAATGTGAAGGAGCTCCGTGGGTTTCTCGGGCTGATAGGATATTACCGGAAATTTGTGAAGGGATATGGAGACATTGCTAAACCGTTGACCCTGCTGCTGAGGAAGGATCAATATAAATGGAACCAAAACGCAACTGAATCCTTTTCGCAGCTCAAGAAAGCAATGACCACGGTTCCTGTGTTGGCACTTCCGGACTTCAATGAGCTATTCGTGGTGGTGTCGGATGCCTCGGGTACAGGGCTTGGGGCTGTACTGATGCAAAACCAAAGGCCCCTCGCCTACTTCAGCCAAAGACTCTCGGAAAGGCAGAGGTTTAAGTCCGTGTACGAGCGTGAGTTGATGGCAGTCGTGCTCGCAATACAGAAGTGGCGGCATTACCTACTTGGTAGGAAGTTCCTGGTTAGAAGAGCCTGAAGTTTCTACTGGAGCAAAGGGAGATCAATTTGGAGTATCAGAGGTGGCTCACCAAGATCCTGGGGTTCGACTTCGATATTCATTACAAGCCAGGCCTTGAAAACAAAGCTGCTGATGCTCTCTCGCGCAAGAATCTAGCTCCCGAGTTGATGGCATTACCACTTCCAGCAGCAATGCAGTTAGAAGAGATATGTGGGGAAGTGGATAAGGATCCTGAGCTGCGTAAGTTGATCAGTGAGCTGCAACAGGACCCGACCACGCATCCGGAGTATTCACTGGTACAGGGACGTTTGCTGCGTCAAGGGAAGCTTGTCATACCACGCGGCTCGAGTCTGATCGGGTTAATTTTGGCTGAATGGCATGATGGAAAAATGGGAGGCCACGGGGCAATACTCAAAACACAGAAGAGAATCGGTGAGTTGTTCTTTTGGACAGGAATGATGACTGACATTAGGCATTACGTGGCGGCCTGTTCAACATGTCAGCGACAGAAGTATTCAACTCTCGGTCCGAATGGCTTGCTGTAACCCCTACCGATCCCTACGAGCGTGTGGAAGGACATCTCGATGGACTTTGTGGAGGGGCTACCACGCTCGGAAGGGAACAACGCGCTGTTGGTGGTGGTTGACAGATTGACGAAGTATGCGTACTTCCTGGGACTTAAACACCCCTTCACAGCTACGGAGGTGGCACTAATCTTTGCTCAGGAGATCATTAAGCTGCACGGTTTCCCTAAGTCCATTGTCTCCGACAGGGACAAGGTGTTCACTAGTCACTTCTGGAGGGAACTCTTTCGGTTATCTGGCACAGCTTTATGTTTGAGTACGGCTTATCACCCACAATCTGACGGTCAGACGGAAGTCACTAACCGAGGATTAGAGACGTACTTGCGTTGCTTCGCGAGTGACAAACCGAAGACATGGGCTAAATTTCTTCCCTGGGCAGAGCTGTGTTACAACACCTCTCACCATTCTGCCATTAAGATGACCCCCTTCAAAGCTGTGTATGGGCGGGAACCTCCTTCTCTTCTCAGGTATGAGACTGGTTCTACCAATAATGCTGATTTGGAGACTCGTTTGATTGAGCGAGATAATGTGTTGGCATTGTTGCGAGAGCATATCTATAAGGCGCAACAAGTGATGAAAGACAGGGTTGATGGTCATCGCCGAGATGTGGAATTTGAGGTAGGGGACTGGGTTTATCTTAAGATACGGCCATATAGGCAACAGACCCTCGCACGGCGAGCTAATGAGAAACTAGCTGCCAGGTTTTACGGGCCTTACGAGGTAGAGAGCAGAGTGGGGCAGGTGGCATACAAGCTCAAACTCCCGGATGATGCTAAGATTCATCCCACATTTCATGTTTCCCAGCTAAAGAAAGCAATCAGAGACTCAATGTTACCCATACCGCTTCCCTCTCAGCTGACAGAAGAGAAGGTTCTCAAGGGTGAGCCAGAGATCATCTTCGACTCACGCATCAGTCCAAAATCCGGTCAGGAGGAGTTGCTTGTTCAGTGGAAGGGGCTTCCACCGTTTGAGAACTCATGGGAATGGAAGACTAGTCTACAGAAGCTGTTCCCTACATTTGACCTTGAGGACAAGGTCAGTTCTAAAGGAGAGGGTAATGTTACGTTTGAAGATATGAGGCCGCCAATTGTTTACACATACAAGAGAAGGGCTAAGGAGGTGCGGGCCTAAGTGGAGTAATGGGCTTCGAGGATGGGGGCAGACATTCTAGAAGCAATCATTAGGAGAGCAGTGCAGACACGTGTAGCTGGGAGAATGGAAGAAGAGAATAAAGATGCTCGAGGTCGTTAGCAGCGAGATCTCTCGGGATCTGTTAAATAAGTATGACGTTTGTTACTTTACTTTTTATCACGGAGTTGATCAATTGGGAGGGGTGAGAGAAGAGAAGAGAGAGAGGTTCCTTTTGATTCTCTGTTCTTGTAAAACGTTTCCGGATCGATTCCAATAATAGTACTTGTTATTAATCCGTGTTTACATCTCGTTCGAACACTACACGTAACAAATTTGGTATCAGAGCGAGTCGATCGCCGGGAAACATGCCTCCGCGTGTTCAGAAAACCGACGAACGTACGGACATGGAGAAGCTATTCGATCAACTCCAGGTGATGACGGCGACTCTCGAGAAGGTGAACGTGTTAGAAGCAAAGGTGACGGCGATGGAAGAGCTCGTGAAGCTTCCCGCGCAGATCGATCACCTCCAGCGGAAGATCGAGTCAATGGACCGCGGAAAAGGGAAAGAGACGAAAACTTCAGAGGAAAGCCCGAACCCGTTGAGCGCCTCGTCGAGCGAGCCACGATCAGGCGAAGAACGAGTGGTTCCGGTAGAAACGGGGATGCCGATCAGTCAAAACAGAGAAGCGCTGACCATGAGAGACGACTCGTTGACCAAAAAGATGGCGATTCCAGAGTTCGACGGAAGCAACGCCGAGGCTTGGATCCTTCGAGTGGAGCAGTATTTCGAGCTCAGTGACTTCACCGAGTCAGAAAAGCTGAAAGCTGTAAGGATGAGTTTTGTGGAAGAAGCTCTGTCGTGGTATCGATGGGCAAGAGAACGCGAGCCCTTCCAAAGCTGGGAGCAGATAAAAGTAAGGGTGCTGAGTCACCACTCGAAGGCGCACGATTCTTCCGCAGGAGCGCGCCTTCTGAAAATGAGACAAGAAAGGACCGTCCGTGAGTACTGTCGAGAGTTCATCGCCTTGGTAACGCTCCGGAGCTATCGGAACAGGTTCTCGAGATGGCGTTTATGAATGGGCTCGACTCTAATATCCGATTGCACGTGCGAATGCTCCGACCCCATAACTTGGACACGATGATGAGTTTGGCTCAGATGGTGGAGGATTGGGAGGAACACGGGAAACCCAGACCGTCACTGAGCTCAGGCGGCGGAGGAGAGGAGCTGTGGCCCACAGGGGAACGAGGCGGACCGATGGTAAACAGAGGGGGACAGAAAACGAGTCATGGGCCAAGTTATAAGCCCAGGCCCAACAATCAGAATATCACAAAATCATCGCCCCCAAAAGGGATCGGGAGCAATAACCTAAAAGGGCACGATCGCCTGAAGCCACCGTCCCGACGATTGACACCGGCGGAGATGGCGGAGCGGAGAGCTAAGGGGCTGTGCTTCAGGTGCGATGAGAAATATGGGTATAATCATCGGTGTGCTCAGGCAGAGCTGCGTGTTATGGTGGTTTACGACGATGGAAGAGAAGAGGAGTGGGTCGACGACTACGACGGCCACAAAGGGGAGGAAGCCGAGCTGGTGACGGAGCTCGCGGAGCTTTCCCTCAACTCCATGGCCGGAATCTCATCCCCAAGGACCATTAAGCTGATGGGGACCATTCAAGGGCTGTCCGTCGTGGTGTTGATAGACAGTGGGGCTTCGCACAATTTCCTGAGCGACTCCGTGGTTAAGCAGTTGGAAATACCAACAGAGATGACCGGGAGGTATGGCATCCTTACCGGCACAGGGATTACGGTGAAGGGAGCGGGTCTTTGCATGAACGTTGAGCTTGAAATGCAAGGGTATCAGGTGGTCACGAATTTCTTTCCACTGGGATTGGGGGGCGCAGACGTGATACTAGGGGTTCAGTGGTTAGAGACTCTCGGGGATACAAAAAACAACTGGAAGCTTCAGACAATGAGTTTTCAGGAAGGGGGGAAGACCATTAAATTGCAGGGAGACCCGAGCATATGCAGTTCCGTTGTGGCGCTCAAGGCCCTCTGGAAATCTTGGGAGAGGCAAGGGGAAGGAATGGTGGTGGAGTTTTGTGGTCTTCAGGCAGCTACGGAGGCACCAATCAAGGTTTCGGCGGTGTTAGATGCAGTGCTCGACGAGTATCAAGGAGTCTTCGCGGAGCCTCAAGGCTTACCCCCGTCCCGTGGTAGGGAGCACAGTATCGTGCTTGCCACAGGAGCCGACCCGGTGAGTGTACGACCGTTTCGCTACCCTCAAATCCAGAAGGAGGAGATCGAGAAGCAAGTGAAAGCGATGCTCACAGCAGGAATCATCCAAGAAAGCGGCAGCCCATATTCGAGCCCTGTTCTACTGGTGAAGAAGAAAGACGGAAGTTGGCGTTTCTGCGTGGATTATAGGGCCTTAAACAAGTCCACGATCCCTCATAGCTACCCAATACCCATGATCGACCAGTTGCTCGACGAGTTACACGGATCCAAGGTCTTCTCTAAGATGGACCTGCGTGCAGGGTATCATCAGATCTTGGTGAAGGCAGAGGATGTGCCGAAGACCGCTTTCAGGACTCATGATGGACATTATGAGTTCCTGGTGATGCCCTTCGGGCTCTCGAATGCACCCGCGACATTTCAGGCGCTGATGAATGACATCTTCCGACCCTTCTTACGCCGGTTCGTGTTGGTTTTTTTCGACGACATACTCGTGTATAGTCGATCCGGGGAAGAACACCAAGAGCACTTGCGATTGGTGTTGAAGGTTCTGGATGAGCAGAAACTTTATGCTAACAGGAAGAAATGCCAGTTCGGGAGTGAAAAGATTGAATACCTGGGTCACGTCATATCCGCTGAGGGAGTGGCTGCCGATGATGAGAAGATTAAAGCAATGGTGGATTGGCCACAGCCCCGAAATGTGAAGGAGCTCCGTGGGTTTCTCGGGCTGACAGGATATTACCGGAAATTTGTGAAGGGATATGGAGACATTGCTAAACCGTTGACCCTGCTGCTGAGGAAGGATCAATATAAATGGAACCAAGACGTAACTGAATCCTTTTCGCAGCTCAAGAAAGCAATGACCACGGTTCCTGTGTTGGCACTTCCGGACTTCAATGAGCTATTCGTGGTGGAGTCGGATGCCTCGGGTATAGGGCTTGGGGCTGTACTGATGCAAAACCAAAGGCCCCTCGCCTACTTCAGCCAAGGACTCTCGGAAAGGCAGAGGTTTAAGTCCGTGTACGAGCGTGAGTTGATGGCAGTCGTGCTCACAATACAGAAGTGGCGGCATTACCTACTTGGTAGGAAGTTCCTGGTTAGAACAGATCAGAAGAACCTGAAGTTTCTACTGGAACAAAGGGAGATCAATTTGGAGTATCAGAGGTGGCTTACCAAGATCCTGGGGTTCGACTTTGATATTCATTACAGTCTCGTTAAAATATAAAATTTACAAGACTAGTTCCATAAAAGTTTTGTAGAAATTTGCTCACTTGATAGTATTTTACCAATAAGCAATGCTTGCTCAAAGATTATTAGGGTTTGGATCTACAAATGTTCTTATTGGGACCAATGATTGAACTTGAATCTGCGACCGTATTGACTACTAAGTGATAAAAAAAAATGCAAAAGCAAAGAAGAAGAAAAAGAAAAAAAACAGAAGCAGAGAGGGGCAATGTTTCATCGGCCAGCATTTTATTCTCTCAAAAACACTACTTACAATTTTTCTCCTGCTTCTGTCTTCTACCTAACTTCTGTCTCCGTCTCTTTAATCCAGAGTCTGCTGCTAACAAACCCCATCATCTCAACTGCCATTATATCTTGGCTTCTTCCGTCGCCTCAAGCGATTCCCTGAGGAGAATCAGAAGATTCCAAAGGGAAACACGTTTCTTCACCACCGGTTTGCCAGAGGAAGTTGGCGTAGTTTGCCGCGTAGAAGGAGTTTGTAGGGTCTGCAGATATAGCTTCTAGAAAGTTCTCCTCAGCTGCCCACAGATCTTTCCGAACTTTCCACTGGAAAACGGCGTATTTGCTGTATGTTTCCGCATCTACTTCTTCCGCCTCTATGGCTTTCTTGAAGCACTTCTCCGCTCTGATACATTTATAAAGAAACATCACTGTCAAGTTCCAACGTTACAATCGATTCACCACTCCTTACGCTATATTTCAATCTAAGCCTATAGATTTTTGAAAAGGTAACACCTTTTGATTCTCAACTCTTGAATGTCAGATGCAAGAAAAGATATATTACCTGTCATAGTCTTGGCTGACGAGGTAAAGGAACTGAGCGTAGTTAGCTACGAGAAGAGGGTTGTTCGGTTCTTGAGCCAAACCTATCTTATATAAAAGCCCTGTTCTAGTGTAATTGGCATAATCATCCAGTTCAATCCTTGCAGTGATCGGTGAAACAAGTCTCAGTCTCATGTCACGATCCACAGGTGAATCCTGCATTTGATCTGCTTCTTCCAACATCGAATTCCACAGACTCAGCTCCTCTTCTCTTATCCCTTCTTCTGATACTGAGCCTCGTCGTTGTGTCGTTAACTGTGAGACCTTGTCAAAAGTGGTCGGTCCAAACCATTTTGGCGAAGAAAAACCAGACCTTTGATGCGTCTGATCTTGCCCTTTAGTAACCGGAGATGCCTCTATTGGCACATCAGAGAGTGGTGGAGATGCCGCAATAGCTAGATTCGATGCAACTGAATGCACAGTGAAGTTTGCTAATAGGATCATCACGTACACCATCAAAGTAGGCGTCTGAGAGAACACGCGTTGGAAAATCCACAACAATGAAGCGTGCATATCTTTCTTAACCTGCTTAAGAACACCTTGTAGGTCTTCGTAGAAGATGGTCTCCCTAGTCTGCAGCGCAAAACTATGGAGCTCCTCGAGCATGAAGACCATATAAGAGAAGGCTCTGTTGATAGAGCAATAAGTAGATTCACTAGCTTCTTTGAGCGCCTGTTCATGTAGCTTCCTCTTGATTATCCTAAGTGAGAGAGGCAAATCGACACTGTTTGCTTTCCGCTCAATGCTTGAATGGTTAACCATCTCCATCCATGGAGCCTCCAGCGAAGCTAAACCTGGAACAGACTCCTGAAGTAGCTTCACCGAGCCGAATCTGTGATTCCTGTGATCGTTATCTACTGCTTCGTGGATTGTCTCTGATTGGTACTTGTTTCCTTTGTTTCTCTCTAGGTCTTCTTCTTCGCCTGCAATCTTGAATTGTAGTGCTAATTCTTGCATCTTCTCGGAGAAATCTTCGTCGGAGAAGAAACCGGAGCTCGCACTGCAAACTCTCCTTAAAGAGTAATGTTTCTGCGCGCCCGCTCTGCTCTTCTTCGTGGTAGCATTGCTAAATTCCCAAAGCTCACATGATTTGGATCGGTGGAGTTTCCCAGATTGCGTTCCGAGAAAAGCCGAAGGTTTCAATCTCGTATGGCATGCTAAAGATCCTCCTCCGACGGTTACATCTCCGCCTCTTACACGAGAACGACGCCGTTTTGAGGAGGTTAGGGTTTGCGAGAAAGACGGACATTGAGGAATCGCCGCATGGCGTCCTGACCAATGAAAAGACGTGGTTGTGGCTACTTTCACCTCCATTCTTCAAAAGAGACGGTGAAATCTCAGAATCTGTAGCCTAATGGTATAATCCAAGAAAGCTTCAAGATCAGGATAAGACGAGAGAAATTGAATCAAATTGCTTAGGAGGAATCAAAAGACGGAGAAAGAGAAAGAGGTAGAGAGAGAGAGCTTACTTATGGGTAATTCTAAATGTGTTCGAAGTTTGTCTTTGATTTTCGATTTTCTCGGGAAAAAATCGGGTTTGTGAGGTCAATCGAATTCAGAGGCTTGAGCTCCTGAAATTTGTTAGAAACAAGGAAGAAGACAAAAAGGCCTTGGACATTATATACGAACAAGAAAAAACGGAGAAAATTAGTAAATTCTTAAAAGAAAGAAAATTAGTTACCGGATATAGCCGGTGTCAAACATACGAAAAGGCGCGTGCTATTTCGGGAAGAGATTAGATTTTTACCCACGGGTAGAGACGGTAACAGGTAAATGGACTTAAGAAGGATCGGCTAACTGTGCAACGCGGTTTGTTCGGGAAAAACCCGCTTTTAGTAAGGCCCAAGTGGCCTTCATCGCGAATTCGTCTATCTCTCTGATATGACGGATGATAATGAGCTACGTGTCATTCAACTGTTTGTTTCACAGACCTAGCTTTTGATCTCTTGACACGTAGGTGGTTGGGAGTATGGAGCCGGGTTCACGACTTCACGTGCACCGAGGAAGCTGAAATAAAGTAATTAAAATGTTGGTAAGCGATTAAATTAGTTATACACATCTTTACGGAATACGTATAGATCAAAGTATTGTTCACTGAAACCCGGTAAGACCAACCAAATTTGTTGGGTTGGTCTTAAACCATTTATAAACCACAATGCACATCTCACCAGCACTTGGTCATATCACCAGCATAGTTGTAAACATCTTAGAGTCCTGACATATGATATGATACTTGCACAACAAAAAATCTACAATCCTAAGTGTTTCAGACCCAAAAGTGATGATCAAAGCAATACAAATGTTGTTGGTTTGGGCACTACCTGCTGGTTTTGACCTAAACCTAGCCTAAGTAGTAAGTAAGACGGCTAAGAGAGCTTATGACACTATGTTTCAACATCGACACAGGCGAAACTTGCGGATCAAGAAAGCCATTACTTAAACAAATTGAGTGCTGAGGAGATTGATTTTCAACGCAATCCTACCTGATCCAAAGGTAGATTTTGTTTCTTCTTTTACCACTGGGTAACGCTTTTGAAAAGTGAGCTACTGAGCCCTATCAGAAGTGATAAGCGAGTAGATAAACCAGTACGTGCTTATCATCCTATTGACTTAATGTAGATTATGTTTCCCTCGCTGATGCCGTATCTGTTCAGACCCGAAACCCAAATGTTCAGATTTCTTATACAAGAAAAATATTTACAAAATCATATACTTTTCTTGTTCCAAAGAAAAAAAAATCATATACTTTGATCTTCAAGGCTTGTCTTTTAAACCGACTCTGAAGAATCGACATGTCTGCAACGTCCAACACTCTTTCCGGTAACGCAGACTTAGTGTAGCTGTGAAGTGTAAAATTCCTGGTCGTTTCCCAGTAAACATCTGCATAAGCAGAACAACGACAAGAAGATTTTAATGAAAAAAGAATATGCTAGTAAACAAAAAGGACTTGAAAGCTCAGGAAGAAACTCTTTTAGAGGTTCCATTGCAAAGAAAAACAAATCAAATACTACCATCTAGTCTCAGCCCAACTAAAAGACGCAGGAAGTTTCGAATGACTAAATCCACTTGTTGTCCTAAAAAAATGAAATACAGAACCCGAAAGCTCTCTTTCACTGAAACAAAAACATATATTAGTAGTAGAACCGTCATTTATTCCATACTAGTCCTTTAAGAAAAATCTCATATTGATCAATGATCACTAAGGTAAAAACAAAAGCAAAAAATCAAAACTTAGCGTTAGTAATACTGAGAAAATCCAAATCGCATTGGGAACTAAAAGGGAACATTGAGGATTACAAATTGTAAAGCTGGTAACACAACATTAATCAGTCTTCACTTGACATAGCATCCATTTAACAATATTCTGCAAGCATAGAGAAAGAAAACCACACATTATGAAAGACGATTGTATTATATAGGCCTCAAATTAAGCCTTTTAAGTGGGTTACAAAGTTTGTAGAGAAAACCATAAACACTTCAACATCTTGCTGTTCTTTTGGTTTTAAAGAACCTCTCTCTGATTAAGATTAACTCCTTTGTCGCTTCACTCGTTGCCAACCTCTTCGTCGGAGTTTCTTCACAGCACCTGAGTCCCAATTCCAAAACCAGTGTCAAGCACTCAGCAGCTGGGAAACCAACTCTGAGACCGCTGAGAAGAATTGATTTGTCTGCAATGTCCAACACTCTCTCAGGCAACGCCAATTTGGTGTAGCTGTGGAGGGTAAAGTTTCCTCCAAATAACTCATGCGTTGGTCTTTTTCCAGTGAACATTTCCAAAATAAGAATCCCAAAGCTATACACATCACCATGTATTGATGGTTGTCCTCCCATTCCATATTCTGCAACCATAATGCACATAAACAACATCGACCACAAGATTGTCATGCAAGATAGTTATACTTACGTAGTTATGTTCTTCATATAACATTTCATATATATATGTGTGATATATTTACCTGGTGCGGCATAGCCGATGGTTCCTCTGATGCCAGCTGAGCTTAGTTGGTTGAAGAAAGATTCTTGGTCGAATTTGAGGAGAAGACGGGCGAGACCGAAGTCGCTAACATGGGCGGTTAGATCATCATCTAGAAGGATGTTGCTTGGCTTAAGATCGCAATGAGCTATAGGTTCATGGCAACGAACATGAAGATAATCCAAAACAGAGGCTACATCAATAACTATGTTAAGCCTTTCAAGAAGTGTCAAAGTCCTTGACGGTTTACGAATCTCTTCGACTTTCTCTTGGTGCAACCACATATCAAGGCTTCCATTAGGCATAAACTCATAGATGAGAGCCCTAAATTCGTTTCCTTGGAAATCAACACTCGAACAAACTGTTAATAGTTTCACAAGATTACGATGCCTTATGTCGTTCAAGGATTCACACTCTGCCATAAAGCTCTTCATTGCTCCACGTCTTTGCATGTTGAGAACTTTGACTGCAACAATTTTGTTCTCCGTTGGGAGCAATGCCTTGAACACAATGCCAAAACTGCCTGACCCAATAAAATTGCTGGAAGAGAAGCCACTTGTTGCGTTTTGGAGATCTCCATAACTTATCTTCTCGTGGTAGACCTCCAAGCTGGATGAAGGTTGATTATTAGTCATGCCGATTCTTCTTTCTTTTTCTGAACCAACATAGAGAAACTGAAGCTATGAACAACAACAAAAGAAAAGCTATACCTACACTGACTCCAATCACAGCCTTTTTCAAAACAAATGGATGCTTTGTTTCGACTGATGGTGCTAGCTCAAAGCATGGCTTTAGTTTCAGGTCCTTGATTCCTCCACAAATATTTTTGTTTCCGAATACCAAAACTATAGTAGAGTTCTGAAATTTCCCTTCTGTCGGCACCCTTCCTTGGAAATTGTTAGTAGATAGATTGAGATACTCCAACTCGGATAACTTTGAAAGATATCCAGGTATACTTCCATAGAGATTATTGCTTGACAAATCAACTTCTTTAACACCCACCAAGCCACTTATATCTTGAATGCCTCCATAAAAAGAGTTTCCTTGTAGGTAAAGTTTTTCCATTAATAGACATTTTCCCAAAGATTGTGGAAGTTTACCTGAGAGTTTATTATGCGCAGCGGACAGTGTAACAAGATTGTGTAGCCGTCCAATATCTTCTGGTAGAGAGCCAATCAACGAGTTACCTTCCATGCTTAGGTTAACAAGGGATGAAATTTGCAGAAGTTCCCGAGGTATAGTCCCGCTTAAATTATTATACCCAATTGACAAATACAGCATGTAACTGCATTTTCTAAGACTCGGTGGAATGGTTCCTTCCAAGCTATTGTTGAACAATTCAAGTATTTCTAACCGAGTGATGTTGCCTATACAAGATGGTATCTCTCCTGAGATTCTATTTGAATCTAGACTTAGTTTTTCTAATCTTAAAAGCTTACAAATAGAGATTGGGAGTGGACCACTCAACATATTTTCTTTCAGTTGATTTGATTGTAGGTTTATGAGGTTCCCAATGTCATGAGGAATGCTTCCAGAGATGCGATTCCATGAAATGTGTAAACGGATGAGGCTCCTGGAAAGATTGATAATGGAGGTAGGCAAGTCACCTCTAAGCTTATTCCCACTAACATATAATTTTTGAAGTTGAGTGCAGTTAGCCAAAGCACCAAAAAACTCAAGATCTCCAGAAGAGTAACTTCCCAAAGAATTATAATTAAGTAGCAACATTTTCAAATCTCACAATTCCCCAAATCTTGGAGAAATACTTCCAATGAAATTGTTATATTCGATTCCCAGATTTTGTAGCGTTGAGATATTAGGAAGTGTTGGTGGAATGATGGCTGTGAGATCATTAGTTCTCATATATAAATCTTGAATGTTTGGTAGTAGATTTCCAAAATCAGGCCTGAGGCTCCCTGAGAAACCATTACCAAATATGTTCAAGAACTCAAGTGATGACATATTGTAAACTGCTGGAGGAAAAACGCCTGGGAAATTGTTCAATGATAATTTAAGATGCACCATTTGAGTCAATCTAGCCATACTATCCGGAACTCCTCCTTGTATATCGTTATCTCCAAGGCCGAGATATCTGAGTGATGTCAAGTTTCCTAGAGATGCAGGAAGCTTCCCGTTCAAATTGTTTTTACCAAGAAACAAACCAACAAGCTTTGTCAATGATCCTAGCTCTGGAGGAACAACTCCTCCAAGATGATTTGAATATAAACCAAGCTTCAACAATCTAGAGCAATTATAAAGACCGGAGGGAATCTCTCCCTTGAGAGAATTGAAGCTCATATTCAAGTATTCAAGTCTAAACAAGTATCCCACTTCTTGAGGGATGAAACCACCAAAAGAATTACTTGTAAGATTAAGTGATGTGAGGAATGAAAGATTACCAATAGATGGTAAAATCACTCCACCCAATTGAAATCCTCCCAGGTCTAGACGAGTAACTCTTTGGATTTTGCGGCCACATCTAACCCCATTCCAGTTGCAAAGAGGGAATGATTTGTTCCATGAGGACAAGATCTCTTTTGTCTTCAGAAACTTGAGACTTGAATTCTAGCAAAGCTTGCCTATCACTTTCGTCAGTAAAACCATACGGAACAGGTAACATGAGGGCATTGAAAGCAAGTAAAAAAAAGAGTCTCATGCTTCTCATGCCTTTCTTGTTTGGTTAAAATATTTTGATGTTTCTCATATTTTGCAGGACGAAGCAAATGCAAGATGCATTTTTTTTGGGTCGGCGATGCAAAGATGCCAAGATGCATTTACTTTGTGACTTTGTGAATTTTTTTATTGCAAAGTAAATAGACCAAGTCAGCAATGCGGAGCTAGTAAGGTGGGGAATGGGGTCAGGTGACTATCATCATATGAAGATTTACGCCTGACGATTCTGCTTGCACCACGCTGAAGAGCTCTTGTAAGCTTGCCTCCATTAAGTTGCATCATTCTTCATTAATCTGTATAATTAAGAATAAATCGCGTTCGCTGGGATTTGAAACCCAAACCTTCTGATGTAGAAACATTAATAAACCCTTATTAAACCATTGGGCTAAGGAGGTTTATGACACTATCAAATTTTCTTAATTGACCTCATTAAAAAATAAAAAAAACATATAAGACCAAAACATAATTAAATTGGACAATTGATTTATTTTCGTTGTGAGTTCAGTTGTAATTAAAACCCACTTTATCACTTTTATGCGTTTTAATTGCTTATTAGCTAAGGATAAATTTAGTAACTGGTCCATATTAATATCCAAACGAAAGATTCAGAGCAGATAATGGATAATTGGGGGAAAACATAATACACCTGCGTATCGTGACGAGATTACCCCTATTTGGTTTGTGGATGGTGGGTTTTGAGGAGCATTAAATGTGAAGTGACGTCCACATGATCTTGCGCTGCCGACAGGTAAATCTGGATACTGAAGTTGTTTAGGCAACAAAACCAATAAAGGTAAGGTGGTATAAAAAATTATAAAACATGTGGCGTGAAAATATCTGCACCCCGGGCAATTATTTAGGGAAGATGAAGTGGTGGACCTTTCAGTTATTCTTCTTCTTCTCAAAAGAGATCTTTGACATAACGGTTGTCTTGATTGCATTAACTACTCGCCAAGGTTGTTGATCCTGCATTAACTATCAGTGGACAAAGGTAACGAAACATATAAATTAAGAAGATTTCGTGGATGAATGATGTTATCTTCGGGTAAGTTACGTTGCTAACATGATTGTGTCCAATTTAGGGAAATGGCGCACTCTGTGGGCGTGGTCTGCGGCGAATGGATCAGGCATGAGGAAGGCTGGTGGGATCATGTGGCGGATCGAAGCACTCTTAACCACGCCGTCACTCTAACCGAGAATGCAGATTTCCTCATAATGCAACAGGTTATTAGGGAAAAATTGCGTATGCAGCCTCATGAGCAAGTACAGTTGAGTTACCAGTGGCCGCACTGGATGCTGGGTCCGGAATGGAGGCGAGCACCGCCAATTCTGATCTCTGACAACGAAGGAGCCAGCTTGTTTATGGCGATAAGGACGGACTTTTCAGAAGTTTACCTGCGCGTTAGCGTTACCAATCCGGAGATTGCTAACAATGGGTGTCTTGACGATAACAGGGTTAGCAGAAAAACAACGGCCCCGCCTGCTACCAGTATTGTCAGAGCTGCGGGTCTTCATGCAAGCCAATTGCCATATCCATCTCCGTGGCCGCTAACAACGTACAGCTCCCGATTCCCGCACAGTGGGTACTACAGACAATTAAGCAACGGAGGGATTATATAGTCAGGTATTATTTATAGACAAAGTCTGAAGTACGAGCTGTATGTTTTGTTCTCCTGTATGTTTTGTTCTCAGGTTCTTTATATTTTGAATGGACATAGGAATAATAAACCCAACTATTACTGGTGATCCACTCATGCAGTTTGTCCACTACCCCTCACCGGCAAGTAGGGTGAAGGGCGCTGTTATCAGTAAATTTTAAATTACTGCGGTAACAAGTGCACATGAATACAGAGTCAACAAGAATGCCGTCTTTGTAGATGGACTGCAGAGAGGGATACAATCGACTCGGCCGGTGGCGTCGAGCATCCCAGCAGTAGAATTCCCTGCCTCGAGTCGACCACTACTTCGAGGTGATGGTAATGTCACTGTTTAACGAAAAAAATTAGCGTTAATTTCTGACATATCCTACCACCTTCAGGTTCGAACAGCCAGCCACGTGTCGAGCAGGCTGAGTCCTCGTTTCGGACACATGCTTGGGTTCAGAACCCCAACAACGCATTCTGGCCTGGATATTTTCAGCAGCCGCCATCCGAAGGGCCGCAGCTTTCTACGAACGGTATACAACCACCGCAGAGAATTCAGGTTAGTGGATGTACGATGAATAAGAGGTGAGTACGACCCTTGATCCATTGTATTTGCTACTCGTGCAGTCCAGGGGAGTCAACCGCGAGAATTAAAGGAGTTATGGCAGTACTTCAACGAGGAAGCAGTTGCCAACAATTTGAACCCTCGGCGCACAAGTAACGACAACAGACGTCGGCATCTCAAACCACAAATCTGGAGATAGAGCTACAACTAAGTCTAGGTAGTGCGTACATTGACGGGTCGGGTCTTGCGGCCGGGGCAAGCAGCGAGGTCCAAGTCCTTACGATAAGCTCAACAGATTCGACCTCCACACCAACCGGCTGCCCTTCAACGGATTGCGAAAAATTAGGAAAACTAGATACTCAATTTATTGACAAAAAATTAAGAAAATTAGATTTTTTTCAAATAGATTTGGAATCACGTTTCGACACAAAAAAAAAATCAGAGAAATTTATGGATTTCAAGTATTTAGTGGAAAATTTGTGACAACCTATTTTCCAGAATTTTTTTGATATAATATTTTTGACATCAAATTTATGAATTCACAATATTTGACAAAAAATCACGAAATCAATTTAAAATACTCTAAGATAAATGTTTTTGGAAAAGTTAAAAATTCATGTTTTCGGCAAAAAAATTCTGAAATTGGATTTTCACAAAAAAATTTGAAATTATATTTTTATTTAAGCTTTTTGGTGGAAGATTTACGGTTTCACTTATTTAGTGGGATATTGATGAAACCAAAATTTTGACTAGTAGTTTTTGAAATCATATTTTTAATGTAAAATTTTTAGCGAATTTTTTGTTTGGATTCAATTTTTGGCAGAAAATTGACACAATCAAAATTTCGATAAAATATTTTTAGATCATATTTTTGATATATTTTTTCGGTGCGAAAGTTACTTATTCATGTTTTTAGTAGAAAATTTGAGAAATCGACCTTTTGATGAAAAGTTTATAGAATCTTATTTTAAGTAAGTTTTTGGCGAAATATTTACAAGTTCAAGTGTTTTATGAAATTTACGAAATCAGATTTTTAAAAGGAGAATTTCTTCATTTTTATTATCATCTTATCTTCTCTCACTGAAAATAATAAAAGTTTATATTATATGTAAATGTATTCCAACTATATAGCGAGAAATACGAACAAGAAATGAGACAAAATATTTTAAAATGAGATTAAAAACTATGAAAGGATGAAAAATATGAATAGAAAATAGAAAATAAAGAATAAAAAAAATTATTTTATTTTATTTTATAGGATTGAAGTATTTTAAATTTTGTGTATATTTTATTTTTTGCTATATACAATTTCTTAAATTTATTAAAATATTTTTTCACAAACTAAATATTTTTTGCAAATATATTACTAAATTGGTCAATCACTAATTTATTATAAATGATGTGTATTATTATTAATTAAATTTTATCAAAATTCTCATGTCCATACGTACAGGCCAACCTTGTAGTAAACAATTAAAGCAAAAACAAATACTTAAACTCAACAAACTCTTCTTCATCATGACATTTTTTTTTGCATATGTTTGGTTTTAAACAAAAAAGAATATTGTTCACCAAAGAAGTCTAAAACAAAGTAACAAGAAGATGAAAAGAGAAACCAAAGTTTGACTGTAATTGCTTCCCAGAGCTACGATGCATAGAACTATGTACACCTGCTTCATGTTTATTGTTTTTGATGGATTATTTCATATATTATTATAAACGTTGGCAACACAAACTTTCAATCTTGTTTGGAAACAACATAGCATATACGTAAATAATATAACAAACTACAGATTATTAGAAGAGAATACGATGATATCATATTGGTCTCAGATAAAGCCTTTTTTAAGTGGGTTGCAAAGTTTGTAAGGAAAACCATAACCACTTTAACTTCTGGCTGTTCTTCTGGTTTTAAAGAACTTCTCTCTGATTGAGATTAACTCCTTCATGGCTTCATTCGTCGGAGATTCATCACAACATCTAAGCCCCACCTCCAAAACCAATGTCAAGCACTCACCAACCGGGAAACCGACTCTGAGACCGCTCTGAAGAATCGACTTGTCTGCAACGTCCAACACTCTTTCCGGTAACGCAGACTTAGTGTAGCTATGAAGTGTAAAATTCCCTTCAAATAACTCATTTATTGGTCGTTTCCCAGTAAACATTTCCAAAAGGAGAAGCCCAAAGCTAAACACATCACCATGTATCGATGGTGCTCCTCCCATTCCATATTCTACACCACAATTCACAATAACAACAACAACAAAATTGTAATGAAAAATGAATAAGCTATTGAAGTTAAACTTGATTTTGGGTTAAGCTTAATTTTGGGTTTATAAAATAATTATTAGTTATTAGATTAGGCCCAAAATTAAGCTCAAGTTCTAGAATCTCTAGAAACATCACTAAAAATCATCATCTTTCTTAAATGTTCTAGAGAATTCTATTAGTTAAATATCTAGATAATTCTATAGATAATTCTAGATGTTGTAGTTAAAATTCTAGATATTATTGTAGAAAATTCTAGAGATTAGGAGAATGTTTGTAAGATATTTTGTAATAAGTGGAGCCTATAAATAGCCCACTACTCCATCATTTGTAAACAAGAGAAGTTGAACAAATAAAGAAAGAGTGTTCTTCATAAGTTCTCTTATCCTCTCTAAAGTTTCTTCAAGTTTTCTCTAAGTATTCTTTCATCTTATTATTCATACTTAGAGGGTCTTTGTTTCTTTCGGATCTCTCGGGTATTACGGTCTTGGGCTAGTGCTTGGCACTATCGGTGTTTTCTTTACATGGTATCAGAGCCATTCTGATCTGGTTCTTTTTCAAGATCGGATTAATTGAGATCTCAGATTTACTCTAAGTATGGAGTCAATGGGTCGCGTTGTTGGGTTGGGAATGGAGATTCTAAACCAATCCAATTACCGGTTATGGAAGTCATGCATGGAGTCATACTTGGTGAGTGAGGACTTATGGGATGTCATCGGCGGCAGTAGCACAACACCACCAAGGGGAGCTGCTGCGACAGCGGAAGCGACAAAGGAGTGGACACGGAAGAATGCCAAGGCGGAGTTTGCATTGAAGAGGTCAATATCCTCGGGAGTCTTTGAGCATGTCTCAAGTTGCACATCCGCTAGTTCCATTTGGCAGGCGTTAGATCAGTTGTTCAACAAGAAGAATGAAGCTCGGCTACAACTGTTAGAGAACGAGTTGGCGAATGCAAAGCAGGGGGAGTCTTCAATCTCAGAGTTTTTCATCAAGGTAAAGAATCTTCGCTCAGAGATTAATACTCTAAATCCGGAGGAGTCAATTTCCGAAGCACGTTTAAAACGGTATATTATTCGAGGTCTATGACCTGAGTATACACCGTTTGTGACTTCGGTTCAAGGATGGGCTACACAACCTTCCTTGGAGGAGTTCGAGAACCTGCTAGCTTCGCAAGAGTCATTAGCTACGCAAATGGCAGGAGTCAAAATCCATGATGACTCGGGGAGCACCTTTGTAGCTCGGAAGCAACACAACTTCAAAGCCAAATCCAAATACGATGGTGCAAAGAACATCGATGGACCGGAAGAATCTTCTACTGGAGATAAGAAGCGATTCAAGTGCTACCGGTGTGGAAAGCTTGGGCACTTCAAAAAGGATTGTCGAGTCAAGCTGAAGGAGACAAATATGGCAGAATCAAAAGGTCATATTGAAGACGAAGAATGGGGGAAATGCTTCACGGTGGAGGCTGCATCTTCAGGTATATCCACAACTAAAAATCTTGAAAATGATTGGATTGTGGATTCGGGTTGTAGCCACCATATTACCGGAGACGAGAAGCTATTTTCTAGTCTTCAGCGCCATGATGGAAAAGAAGCCATAATTACCGCGGATAATTCAGTTCACCGGGTCGAGAAGGAAGGGACTGTTGTCATTGAAGGAGAAGATGGAAGCCCTATCACCCTCAAGAATGTATACCATGTCCCTGGAGTAAGGAAGAATCTTCTCTCTGTGGTGAATGCAGTAGACTCAGGTAACTACGTTTTATTTGGCCCAAGAGACGTCAAATTCTTGAAGAATATTAAAGAGTTAAAGGCGGATGTGGTTCACACCGGATCGCGGGTTAAGGATCTATATGTCTTATCTGCGTCCAACTCATACGTGGAGAAGATGAGTACAAACGACAATGCCTCTATATGGCATGCTCGGCTTGGTCATATAAACATGACTAAGCTAAAGGTTATGGTGAATAAGGAGTTGGTAAATGGGCTTCCGAAGCTGAAGATCCAAGATGAAGGAAAGCTTTGTGAAGGTTGTCAATATGGAAAATCACATAGACTTCCATTTGACAATTCTACTTCACGGTGCAGTGCTCTGTTGGAGAGGATCCATAGTGATTTGATGGGTCCTACAAGAACACCCTCATATTCCGGGTTTCGGTACATGTTGCTGTTCATTGATGACTTCTCACGGCACACTTGGGTATACTTTGTGAAGGAAAAATCAGAAGTATTCTCCAAATTTCAAGAATTCAAGGTTACCGTGGAAGGGGAGCTGGGTCGGAGAATCAAGACCTTAAGGACAGATAATGGAGGGGAGTTCATGTCCAAGGAGTTTCTCTTTTTTTGTCAAAAGCATGGAATAAAGAGAGAGTTTACTTGTCCGTATACACCTCAACAAAATGGAGTAGCGGAAAGGAAGATTCGACATCTAACTGAGACGTGCAGAAGCTGGCTATATGGGAAGGATCTGCCTAAAGCCTTGTGGGCGGAAGGCATGAGATGCGCAGTGTACGTCATAAATCGGATGCCACTCAGCCCAAATAACATGAAGTCTCCGTATGAGATGATTCATGGGAAGAAGCCGTCAGTGAAACATCTCAGGATATTTGGATCAGTCTGCTACGTCCATGTGTTTGATTCTCAAAGAACCAAGTTGGAGGCAAAGGCGAAGAAGTGCATCTTCGTTGGCTATGACGAACAAAGAAAAGGGTGGAGGTGTATGGATCCAGAGACACACAGGTACGTAGTGTCTCGAGATGTTGTTTTTGATGAAGTTTCCTCATTCTATGGGCCACCTCAAGTTTTAGTTGAGCAAGAAGGTGGGAGTTCCTCCAAGAGTGATAAACCAGCTCTGAGTAAGGAAAAAGGTCCTGAAGAAGAGATGCAAGGTGAAAGGGGGAGCACTGATCAAGAGGAGGATGAGGAGGAACATCATGGTTCCACGGCTAGTCAAAGGCCTAAAAGGGACATCATTAAACCTGCTCGGTTCAGAGATCCAAAGTTTGTTACTACCTTCTCGTGCTACTTTGCAGCTCCATTAGATGAAGATGAGCCAACATCTTATGATGAAGCAAAAGGTGTTGACGAGTGGGAAAACGCAATGAAGGAGGAGATGAATGCTCTCATGAAGAACGAAACTTGGGATTTGGTTCCAAAACCCAAGAATGCCCAACCTGTTTCTTGTAAATGGGTGTACCGGATCAAGCGCAAAACAGATGGAAGCGTTGATAGATTCAAAGCAAGGTTGGTTGCTCGGGGATTCTCTCAAAAGTATGGAGAAGACTATGATGAGACCTTCAGCCCTGTAGCCAAGATGACTACAGTACGTTCTCTCTTATCTTTGGCTGCAAGTTTTGGTTGGAAGTTATGGCAATTAGACGTGAAGAATGCTTTTCTATATGGAGAGCTTGACAAGGAAATCCTGATGGAGCAGCCACTTGGTTTTATATCACGAGAGCATCCTGATTATGTGTGTAAGCTGAAGAAGGCCTTGTATGGGTTAAAACAAGCTCCACGAGCCTGGTATGGAAAGCTTGCTCAGTTTCTTCAGTTCTGCGGTTATGTGGCATCAAACTCTGATCCGAGTCTATTCTTCAAGAAGAATGGAGGAGTCCACGTGGTAGTTCTCCTTTATGTGGATGATATGATAATTACCGGGAATGATGATGCAGAAATTACTCGTTTACAAGAGGATATGTCGATAAGGTTTGAGATGAAGAAGTTGGGAGAGCTCAACAACTTTCGCGGTTTGGAGGTGGAAAGGGTAAAGGGTGGAATATTCATCGGCCAACAAAGCTATGCAAGAAGAATCGTTGAGAAGTTTGGAGTACACGAAGGAAAGACACGCTCTACTCCAATGGATGTCAACATAAAGCTTAAACGCGATGAAGGGTCCTTACTACCTGATCCTCGGCCTTATCGCTCTCTTGTAGGAAGTCTTTTATACTTAACCATTACAAGACCTGACATTGCCTTCGCGGTAGGTCTTGTAAGTCGGTTTATGCAGGCACCAAGGAAGCCACATCTAGAAGCGGCAAAGAAGATATTGAAGTATGTGAAGACAACTCTTGGCATGGGTCTGGTGTACAAGTATAATGCCAAGGTCTCTCTTTATGGCTTCACGGATGCTAACTTTGGTGGAGATCTTGATGATCGGAAATCAACTTCAGGCTATGTTTTCCTATGTGGGAACACAAGTGTCTCATGGTGCAGTAAGAAGCAAGCAACGGTGTCGTTATCTACAACTGAAGCAGAGTATAAAGCGTCAACTCTAGCAGCTCAAGAGTGTATTTGGCTTCAGAGACTCCTAGAAGATCTGTTCGAGCCAATCAATAAGCCAATTGCAATTTATGGAGATAATCAAAGTGCGATCAAGCTGGCCAATAATCCGGTGTTCCATGGGAGGACTAAACACATTGAGTTAGAGCATCACTTCATAAAAGAGAAGGTGCTTGATGGGACAATTGAAGCTTTGGAAGTTCGAAGCGAGGACAACGTTGCAGATATCTTCACCAAGTCATTACCAAAAGGTCAGTTCGAGTTACTTTGCTCGAAGCTCGGGATGACTGACAAAATCAAGTTTAAAGGGGAGTATTGAAGTTAAACTTGATTTTGGGTTAAGCTTAATTTTGGGTTTATAAAATAATTATTAGTTATTAGATTAGGCCCAAAATTAAGCTCAAGTTCTAGAATCTCTAGAAACATCACTAAAAATCATCATCTTTCTTAAATGTTCTAGAGAATTCTATTAGTTAAATATATAGATAATTCTATAGATAATTCTAGATGTTGTAGTTAAAATTCTAGATATTATTGTAGAAAATTCTAGAGATTAGGAGAATGTTTGTAAGATATTTTGTAATAAGTGGAGCCTATAAATAGCCCACTACTCCATCATTTGTAAACAAGAGAAGTTGAACAAATAAAGAAAGAGTGTTCTTCATAAGTTCTCTTATCCTCTCTAAAGTTCCTTCAAGTTTTCTCTAAGTATTCTTTCATCTTATTATTCATACTTAGAGGGTCTTTGTTTCTTTCGGATCTCTCGGGTATTACGGTCTTGGGCTAGTGCTTGGCACTATCGGTGTTTTCTTTACATAAGCTAGTTTTCTTCTTCATAGAACATTACATATGTGTGAGACAGTTTTACCATAGCCGATGGTTCCTCTCACGCCAGCCGAGCTGAGATGATTTAGGTAAGACTTGTTGTCAAATTTGAGGAGAAGACGAGCTAGACCAAAATCGCTAACATGGGCAATCAAATTTGAGGAGAAGTACGTTGCTTGGCTTGAGATCGCAATGAACTATAGGTTCATGACAATGAACATGAAGATAGTCCAAAACAGAAGCCACGTCTATGACAATGTTAAACCTTTCAAGAAGTGTCAAGGTTCTTGAGGGCCTACGACACTCTTCCACTTCCTCCGGGTGCAGCCACATATCTAAGCTTCCATTGGGCATGAAATCATAGATGAGAGCTCTGAATTCATTTCCTTGAAAATCAATACTCGAACAAGCCGTCAACAGTTTCACAAGATTACGGTGCCTTAAGTCTTTTAATGATTCACATTCTGCTATAAAACTCTTCATTGCTCCACGTCTCTGCATGTTTAGGACTTTCACTGCAACAAGCTTGTTCTCCTTCGGGAGCAATGCTTTAAACACAGTGCCGAAACTGCCTGGCCCAATCAAATTGGTTGAAGAAAAGTCATCTGTGGCATTTCGGAGATCTATATAACTTATCTTGGCATGGAAAACCTCTAGTATGGAAGGAGTTGGATTATTGGTATGCTTGTTCTTCTTTCTTTTTCTAAACCAGCGTAGAGAAACATAAGTTATGAAAAGCAACAAAAGCAAAGATATTTCTAGAACTTTTTGTAAATGAGAGGAATGATATTTTTCCACTGGCGGTGCTTCCGCAAGGCATGGGTCTAGCTGAAATTCTTTGATACCTCCACATAGATCTGTATTTCCAAATACAAAAACAATGGTAGCATTTTGGAATTTCCCTTCTGTTGCCACCCTTCCCTGGAAATTGTTATTGGATAAATTGAGATATTCCAACGAGGAAAATTTTGCAAAATATGCAGGTATACTTCCAGAGAGATTATTGTTGGAAAAATCAACTCTTTTAACACCCACTAATCCTTTTATATCAGGAATGGCTCCAATTTCCTTGTAGATAAAGTTGCTCCATTCCGAGACATTTTCCTAAGGCATCTGGGAGTTGTCCTGATAATTTATTATCTGCAATGGATAATGTAACAATATTTGCTAGTCGTTCAACATCTTTGGATAGAGAACCGGTGAAAGAATTACCTCCCATGCTTAGGATAACAAGGGCTGGGAATTGGATAACCACTTGAGGTATAGTTCCACTCAGCTTATTAGATCCAATATATAAACGTAGCAGGTATCGACAGTTGCCAAGACTTGGAGGAATGGTTCCTTCAAAGCTATTGTTAGACACATAGCAGATGGTATCTCCCCTGACATTCTATTTGAAAAGACACTTAACAACCCCAATCTTAACAGCTTCCCAACCTGTAAACAGATTTTCTTCCAACCCAAGTTCTTGTAGACCTATTAGATTCCCAATGTCACGAGGGATATATCCATAGATGTGGTTTGTTCCAAGATGTAAAAGGATGAGATTTGTAGTTAGGTTGACAATGGAGGTAGGCAATTCACCCCCCAACCTATTTTCACTAACAATCAAGGTATGAAGATGGGTGCAGTTAGTTAAAGCATCAAGAAATTCAAGATCCCCAAAAGAGTAACAAAAAGAAGTAGGTATTGCAATTTCCATGCCTTTCCAAAGCTTGGAGGAATCCTTCCTGTCAAAATATTGCTATTGATTCCCAACATTTGAAGAGTCGAGATGTTGGAAAGTGTAACTGGAATTGATCCTGAAAGATGGTTCCTTCCCAGAGATAGCTCTTGAAGGTTTGGTAGCAGATTGCCAAAATCAGGCCTCAAGCTACCTGAGAAACCATTACCATAGAGGTATAAATACTTAAGTGATGACAAATTGTAGATAACGGGAGGGAAAACACCTGACAAGTTGCTCACTGATAGTTCAAGATTTACTATTTTAGTCAATCTAGCTATATCTCCTGGAATCCCACCTTTTATAGTGTTGTATGCCAAGCTAAGATTCCTGAGAGATGTCAAGTTTCCTAGAGATGCGGGAAGTATCCCTTTAAGGTTATTATCACGAAGATACAAACTAGAAAGCTTCGTCAATGACCCTAGTTCTGAAGGAACACCTCCTTCAAGATGATTTGAGTATAGATAAAGCACCAGCAATTTAGAGCAATTAGACAGACACGCTGGAATTCCTCCTCTCATAAAATTTGAGCTCACATCCAAGTATTCAAGCCTAAACAAGTTTCCCACCTCTTGAGGGATGGTTCCACCAAAGGAGTTATCATAGAGATGGAGTGATATGAGAAACGAAAGATTACCAATAGATGGTGATATCACCCCGCCTAATTGCAATCCTCCGAGGTCCAGACGTGTGACTCTCTTGTGTTTGCGGCCACATGTGACCCCTTTCCAGTTACAGAGAGGGAGTGAGTGATTCCATGAGGACAAGACAACTCTTTTGTCTTCCGAAACTTTAGACTTGAACTCTATCAACGCTTGCCTATCAGTTTCATCGGTAAAACCATATGCTTCAAGTAGCATGAGAGCATTGAAAGAAAGTAAAAGAAATAGTCTCATGCTTTTCATTTCTCTTTTTCTAGGTTAACATGTTTCGGTGTGTCTCTTTTTTTTTTGCAAGAAAGTGAATGTGAGGGATGAAGCAAAATGCAAGATGCATTTATCTTGTGGTTGTGGTTGTGGGGTTAATGCAACTTGAAGAAAAATAGGGATGGACTCTTGCCGTCCAAGTCTTGTTACCTAAGTCAATTAATCAACCGTCTAAAAAATTAATTAGTCTTTATGACTTTTCTGAAGACCTTACTTGCAGGAATTAGGAATCAAATGCAAAATGCCTTTACCTTGTGGTGGTAGTGCAACTTCAAGAAAATTGGGTGAAGTACATTAATGGCTCCTAACGACATTTGCAAGACTTTTCCAAAATCGACTGACACTGTACATTTGCAAGCCAGCTTTTATACAAAGACAAAAACATTTTCCGAGTCTTTACGACTTTTCTAAAGACATCGTTGATTTATGATGAAATCGACCAATTGACCAGGTTTCATGTCGTATTAATGCCAAATAGTTTATTTTCAATAACATAGCAAAATTTCGAGGGTTAGAAAATGTAATCAGTGTTTCTTTGACGTCAACCTCAACGCTTACTCACAATTTGACGTCTCATCGGTGGATTCTCTTTTATGGAAACAACAGTTCTTTTTTCATTAAAGTCTGAAGCTTATGAAACACACAACTAGTGCAAGGCCACAAGTAGAAACAGAAAATGACAAAAACAGAGCACAGAATAATGTTTGCAAATTCTTATTAGTGTCTTTCTGTAGTGACATGTTAACTTGGTGTAGTTAGATTAGTAATTAAGGTGGATAATTACTGATTACAAAATATTAAAGCTCATGATAGGAGTATACAAATTTAATTAATTATAAGTCGTGTGATTAACTGATTATACAAGATTGAAGCATTTATACTTTTCATCAAAAGTATGAAGTTTATGAAAAACAGCACAAAACAGAGCAGAGTTTAAGCATGTTTCCGAATTCTGAATGATATTGTCACTTAGGATCTTGATTTTGACTGAATGGATGAAAATATAATTCAGGAGAACACATAAGAGAACTTCCTCCTGCAGTACCTGAAGCTGAAAATCCGTTAGGTAATCTAATCTTGAATTTGTCTTCATCTCCCTTCACAGCCCAATCAAAACACTGCACGAGTGATCCGATTGTGAGACTCAAAACCAGAGAAGCATGAGAAGCTCCAAGACATCCTCTCCTTCCACTCCCAAACGCAAGATAATTTACATCTTGACCTTTTAACTCCAACATATATTGCTGGTAATGATAACTCATCTTTCTCTCTGTGTTCTCTTCCACCACAAGAAACCTCTCAGGTATAAACTTGTCAGGATTTTTGTATGTGGTTGGATCACGCATTATCCCGTAAGCATTCACGAAGATCTTTGTCCCCGATTTTACATCGTACCCATTGATCTTCATGTCTCTGTTGCTCTCCCTGCGTAACAATGGCCCCACTGGATGAAGTCTCAATGTCTCCTTGATAGCTGCTTTCAGGTAAGGAAGCTTCTGCAAATCTGATTCTTTGATTAACCGACGCGTGGCTCCTAAAACCGACTCGATCTCGTCTCTGATCTTTGTCAAGATGTCTTGATGGTTGATTAGCTCTGTCATTGTCCATTGTAAAGCTGCAGAAGTCGTGTCTAGGCTCGCCATGAGCAATTCCTAATGTACAAGAACGTTTCAAAAGAGGGTAATTCTAACGAAAGGTAAAGAAAAAAACAGATGAAACAATATCTTACAAGGATGAAGAATTTGATCTGATTCATACTCAATTTGAGTTCGGCTTTGGGGTCGTTATACGTGTCCAACAAGATATCAACGATGTCTTTATCTTTCTCTCCTTCAACGTTGCTCTTATCGTCTTCATATTCCTTCAGTACCTTCTCAATCAAGTCATCGTACCGCCAAATCGATGATCTAAGCCTCTTACCATTCCCAAACACATCAAGATCCCTTAATGGTCCAAACAGCTCCAAGAACCCAAACCTTGTGGCGCAAGCCATTATATCACTCACGATTTTCCTGATCTCTACGGGAAGATTCGAGTTTTGACGGCAACGTTTCCCCATGACCATCTTTGATAAGATCTTTGTGGTCAAAGCAGTGAACTCCAAACCGAGATCGCACGCCTCTCCGTTTCTTGATCTCTCAACGAGCGATCTCAGTAAAGATATCCTTTCCTCCTCTCTTATATCTACGAATCGATCGAGCTGATAACCGGCGAAGAGCTTAGTCATGCATAACTTCTTCATGAACCTCCAGTAAGGTCCATAAGGCGCGTTGAAGAACTCTGCTCCTTTGTAAACATTGAACTGTCTCGGACCAAAGACAAACTTGGAAGCGAAATCAGGGTCGTGTGTCTTGAGGATTTGTTTGGCTGTGTCGGAATCTGAGACAACGAGGACTCTTAGTAGTCCGATGCGTATGCTCATGAGAGGTCCGTACGTTTGAGCCAAGGCTTGTAGAGAACGTGGGAGGCTAGACCGGAGTAGATGCATATGACCGAGAACGGGAAGTCCTCGAGGTCCTGGAGGAAGACGGCCGCTGCGGCTGGAGAAGCTGAAGAGTCTGAGAAGAAGGAAGATGAAAATGAATATGAAGAAGAGATAAGAACATGATGTGTAGTTAAGATCCAAATTATTCATTGTGACCATTTATGTATGTATGAGGGTGCTGATCAAGTGATTGGAATGAAACAAGTACAAGATGTTATATAACAAAAGGTTTATGTAGTTTGTATATTCTTTAGGGAAACTTGTCTTGTTGCTATGAAGGATCTAAGAGTGCATGATTCCTAGATGATAATGACCGACTCCAAAAAATTTTATTATACATTTTTACTAATTGGGTATAGTTTTATGTTTAAAATGTCTAGTTATATCTGTAAACACAGATCACTACAGCCACAGACACCAAAATGTAAGTGAGTCGATTTAACGACTTCTTACATTTCAAGCAATAAATCTAACAAGTCTCGGGTACAAACATAGAATGACAGTTACGGGATGAAGCCAGTTTATACAACCCCAAGGATGATAACTCTCTTGAGAAGAACAACAAAGATCAATCCCAGAGATTCTAGCTACAACTGAAAAACAATTTTGAGTATGCATACCACAATATCGTATCCCTTTAGCGACGACGATCTTCTCTTCTTGAAGGAACCCTTGAATCTGATTGCCTACTTGAACCGTCTCCCTCCCTGTCGTTATCACCTCTTCTTGATCTTTCCTTCGATTTCTCCTCCCTATCATGTGTTCTGTATCTCTTGTCCTCCCTCGTGTAGTCATTGTCAGCATCGTATCTTCCAGATTGCGAATCGTCAAGACGTCCTGATCTCTTTTGTTCCCTCCTATCATACGAATCTCTTGACCTTGGCTCTCTCTCCACCCTTTCCACTCTTTCTCTATCTCTAGGGCGGTTATATGAGGCATCTCCTCCATGACCCTTTTCTCTGTAACTCTTCTCTTCCGCATCAGGTTTGAAATCTCCTCGTTGGCCAAAACTTTTACCACCCTTCTTGGCACCATTAAACTTGTCATGATCCCACTTGGAACTTCTGTCCTCTTCATGACCCCAACCAGTATTTGCAGCTCTCTGTCCATAAAAAGAAGAGTGAAAGAAAATCAATGAGAAGAACATCCTGAGTCCTAACAACGAGCATGGTTCCTTCTATCTTACCATTCATTATCTCTCTTAAAAGCATACATTAAAGGAGATTGTGCCACTTACTTTTTCATCGTGGGAGAATTTGCAAAAATCTCCACGAGTACACTCTCCTCTCTGAAAAGCTCTGCATACACCACGAGCCTCTCTGTTCTGCTGTCGCGTCTCTTCATCTTCCTCTTCTCGCTTAGTGTATTTGCTACAATGGTCAACCCTAATGGTCCGCCCAAGCACCTGAGCTCCATTCAGATTATCTGCAAATTGAAAAAAGCTCAGAGTGTAAGCAAATCACAACATCTCAAGAACCAGTGTGCAATATAGGGAGTCATTTAAAAGAAGCGTTTTGTGACTAACCAACAGCGAGAGTGGTGCTTCTTTGATCTTCATACGCAAGAAACGCAAAACCCTTGGATTTTCCAGTAGCCTTGTCTCGGATAAGATTGACATCTACGACTTCACCATATCTACGAATCCAATTAGAAACAAAAAAAAAAAAGCTTAGAAAAACCCAATACTATCTAGGAAGAGAACCCAGAACGGTACTGAATCAGGTCGACATCAATAAACTTACTGTGCGAAAACGGCGAGGAGATCGCCTTCGGTGAGGTCGTACGCTATGCCTCCGACGAAGACATAGGCAGAATCTTTGTACTTGGCGTGCCACGAGGCCTCTTCAGAAATCCCTAGATCTGATTCCGTAGCGTTTATACTCTGTATCCGCTTCACCAGCGTCAATGGATTCATCTTTCGAAACTCTCTCTGCGTTCGCTGCCGAGAGAGTAGAAACCCTAAGCGATTCGATCGGGACGAGTTCGACAGAGAATAGCTGAGCGGGTCGGGTTACTCCGATGACCCGAGTTTTTAAATTGCCTAATCTAACAAGCCGACCCGGATGGGGGCCCAATTATGTGTATCTGGGCCGCCGGCTGCATACATTTTTTTCTATTATTAATCATTCTCTCTTTCTTCGTGCTCAATCAATTTATTAGGTTAAAAAGTTAGGGTTTTTGAAGGTTTATGTTCCGATTCAAGCACCGATCTAGATTCGATGATGGCAGCGGTCTACATCCCTCTGGATCTCCAGATCGAAATACTCTTAAGGTTGCCTGAGAAATCTCTATATAGATTTCGAAGCGTCTCCAAGGTTTGGTACTCAATCATCACCAGTGATTTCATGAATATTGTAGCTTCCTTAGCTGCTCCTCCTCGTCTCCTCATTGCTTTTGCAGAATTTTACGGAGAAGAGAGTCTGGTAGCCTCGTTGCTCTCTTCCTCTTCCTCTTCTTACAGAGATTTTGGCCAAGTCAACATCAAAGGGAAAGTGGTGTATAACGCGGTTCGGGGCTTGATCTGCGTTGGAGCCGGTTTTGCAAATGTGGGGATTTGTAACCCTAGCACGAGGCAGGTGCATAATCTTCCCCAACTCAGATTCAAATCTACTCCACAGATTTTCCCACGCCCTGAGTACATTTTTGGGTACGATCCGGTTGAAGATCAGTACAAAGTGCTGGCCGTTGATCAATGGCCACAGAGAGGGGAGCACAAGGTCTTGGTATTGGGAGGAGAAGAAGCTTGGAGAGAGGCTTCGTGTGTCATATGTCCTCACTTTGTTTATACACGAGGGTTATATATGAACGGAGCCATGTATTATGGGGCTTCCAAGGAGGACATCAATCCCAATAACGGAATTTTCCAGAATACGTTTTCTCGTAGGAATAATAATTCCATAATTGTGAGTTTCGATGTTAGGCTTGAAACGTTCAACATCATCAAAGTACCGAGCAAGGTTCTACCAATAGGTTATAAGAATCTGTGGGGTCATATTACGGATAAAACTATGCATAAAACACTGATCAACTATAGAGGGAAAATTGGTGTGGTTGAGAAGCCTGGTGAGGATAGTTTTAAAATGTGGGTTGTTGAAGTTGCTGAGAAAGAGGAATGGTCCTTCAACACTTTTCATCTGCCTGAGTCTGCTGCTGGTCTTGACTTCAAGGTCGTGGATACCTTTCATAACGGCGAGATTTGTCTGGTTCCAAGACAATTGTCTGATCCCTTTCGTCTTTTCTATTACAATTTGGAGAAGAAAAGCATGAGAAGTGTCATAATTGAAGGTCTGCCAGTTTCCAAGTTTAAGCAAGTCCATCAACTTTCTGTGACTGTCTCAGAACATCATGAGAGCTTCATGCTCTTAGAAACTTGAAGTTTGATTTAGGGCTTTTCTTTTATGTAATTTCACGTAGTTGGTTTTACTTTGAAGAAGTACAATGACTCAAAGTTAAATTTTTATTTTCTTTTGGTTAGTGGGATTTCTTGAAATAGATGAATCAAATAAGATCATACAACGAAAAAAACAAATCAGAACCGCAGCACGAACTACGTTATTTTGTCAACGACAGTGTCTACTCTACTTTCTAAATTTCTTATACAGAAAGCTTGGAACTATTTATTTTAATACAGAAATTGTTTTTTGTTGACAATCTCTCTCAGGTCCGATGAGTTCCTTATTTAATTTTCTTCTTTAAATTTCCAGGTCCGATGAGTTCCTTGTCCTTGTTTAAATTTCTTATACAGAAATTTTCATAGATTTGTTTTTGTGTAATTTTGGATATCTTTGAATAAAATTCAAAACTCGTTGTATCTCAAAGAGATGTAGTGTCTTTTGTTGTGTTGATCATTGCATTGAAGCCTAATTCAAAACTTGTTGTATCTCTAAAAGATGTTGAAGATGTAAGTGACATCAAGAAGCAGCTCAAGAAGGACTGCAGGATGTTCGTAGCTGATGTGGAACTCAGCGATTGGTGATTTAAGAAGGAAGTCTCAGAATATAACTTGAGTATATTCGAGAATCTAGAAAAAGGAAAAACTTGTTATAAAAGGATATGCAACTAGATTCTAGGGTTAGACTCTTGAGTATGTTGTATAAATAGGAAGTCTGGCAAAGTGTGGTCTGTACACTTTGCGCCGCAAGTATTAAAATCATCCTTGAGCTTCCATAGCAATTAAGAAGCAAGAAGGTTAGTGTCCTCTTCCCTGATACACAAGCGGTATGATCGTGTGAAGAGTGGTCTTTAGAACTAGGAATCTTTGAGGGCAATCTAGGTTAAAGTTGCATAATTCCAAACAATTGTAATCAGTTGATTAAATTATTGATTCTTGTTTAACAAAACAAGCGTTGGACTTGGCGCTTTCCAATTATTTGTTGCTGCCTGTATTCCACATTTCAATTGGTAACAGAGCAGGCAACTGCTAAGGATTGTCTGTTCTTATTAATCAGGTGTGATTGTGGGACAAAGTATGGAAAACATGCAGCATCTCGGTTCCGTCAAGTCGCTTGTGCTGGACGCTCAGAATTACGGATGGTGGAAAGTTCAGATCAAGGCCCTTATCAAAGGATACGATGAGGATGCTTGGACAATGGTGGAAGAAGGGTGGACAGAGCCAACAATTGTTGGAGCTGATGGGGTGATCAAACCAAAACCTAGATTGACCTGGACCGTTGAAGAGAAGTCTTGGTCTAAGTTCAAATCCAAAGCTCTATCGATAATCTGGACGTCACTCACCAAGGATCAGTTCAAGAAAGTTCAGGGATGCACTACTGCAAAGGCCGCTTGGGATGCACTTCAGGTTGCGTATGAAGGGACGTCAAGCATCCGCAGGACACGGATGGATATGCTGGCATCACAGTTTGAAACCATGACCATGGGGTCAAATGAGTCAATCGAGGAGTTCAGTGGTAAGCTCAGTGCCATTGCACTCGAAGCGCAAGTTCTGGGAAAAACCTACAAAGATAAGAAATTGGTCAAAAAATTTCTGCGAAGTCTACCAGACAAGTTTCAGGGTCATATATCAGCTCTTGAAGTGTCAAAGAACTCAGATGAAATGAAATTCAATGAGATTGTAGGAATGATGCAAGCTTACGAGATGAGACAGTCGCAGAGGAATCAGACCAAAGGAAAAAGTGTAGCATTTGCTGCAGAACAAGAATCATCAGAAGCAGCTGATCTCGATGATCAAGTTGGCCTGATTGTGAAAAGGTACTTTAAGAAGTTTGACAAAGCACAACGCAAGACAGGTCCTGAGAACAGAAGATCAAGCAATGAGTCTAAGGGTGAGCAAGGATCAAGAAAATCGGAAATGCAATGTCATGAATGTGAAGAATACGGTCACTTCAAGACTGAATGTCCAACTGCCAAGAAAATGACTACTCTCAAATGTCAAAAGTGCAGTGGGTATGGACATGTTAAGACAGAGTATGTCTCTCAAGACAAGAGAAGGGATAGGTCCTTAATCAGCAAGGAAGAATCACAATCGGATGAAAGTAAGGATGATGATGAATCGATTCTCAAATACGTCGCCTTTCTTGGGGTAATCGATGAGAATGCTGACTCTGGGGGAGAATCTGACAATAACGAGGACTTCTCAGACAATGAGATATTGGCTGAGGAAAACAAAACCTTGTGTCTCGCTATGATTAATGCAAAACAAGAAAAAGAAGGTCTTCTGCAACAAATTGAAGACAGGGATGCACAAATCACAACCCTGGATAAAGCACTCAACAGTCATAAGTTGGTGATTGATGAAAAGAATGACAAGATCTTTGCTCTACAGTGTGAAGTTGAAGTTGCTGAAAATCAACTATCATAACAAGTTAAGTTCTCTGACTTCTTGAAAATGCTGCTTGTAGAAGAACAGGAAAAGAATTGTGACTTGAATGGGCAATTGACTGAACAACTGAGAAACATCAGGATGGTGTCCAAGGGAACAAAAGACCTCGACAAACTCCTAAGTGTTGGTCAGTCGAGCAAAAGCAACTTTGGTCTCGGATATGTAGGTCAATCATCTGGTCATAAGAGAAAGTTTGTTCGTGGATCAGAGGCTTCTCAACCCCAATGTCAAGCTACCCATCAAGGTGCTACTCAGGCAATTGATCGAAAGGTTGACAAAGTAAGGAACAGAGTAGCAATGCTGATAACTGAGTCCGACAGACAGAGTGAGAGAAGAACGAAGGTCAGTGAAGTCTATCGATATGGAAGACTATCTGGTTGCTACTACTGTGGAAAGCCAGGACACATAAAGGTTCACTGCTATCGTCTTCAGGAAGACATTTAACACCTTGTAAGGCAGAATCAATTATTCTGGAATGGAAAACGTCGAAACCAAGGATGGATAAAGAAACCAATGGGTAACCAGGCTTTCACAGCTGTTGCCACTGGTAAAGGACCTGAAAACTCCTCCTGGTACTTTGACAGTGGTTGCTCACGGCACATGACAGGGTCTCAGAACAGTTTGGTTAAATTTGAAAACGTCTCTGCTGGCAAGGTTACCTTCGGTGGTGGTGCCAGAGGTGTTGGAGAGATAAGTGGACCACACAAACCTTAGCTTAGAGAAGTGTATTTCGCTGATGGATTGAGAGCTAACCTGATAAGTGTCAGCCAACTGTGTGATGATGGTCTCTCTGTGCGGTTCAACAAAGACTCATGTCAAGTCGTATCTTGTGGCGGTCAGGTCGTCATGTATGGATCTCGGACAAACAACAATTGCTATAAGTAGATTTCACCACTAACTCGTTGCTTCAGCGCCACCATCAACAAGTCTAATGAGATACAATTGTGGCATCAGAAGATGGGGCACATGAATATCCGCACTATGGCTAGACTTGCTGACAAAGAGCTTGTACATGGAATGCCCAAGCTCAAGGTTGCTTCCGAATTCGTCTGTGGTCCTTGCACTCAAGGAAAACAGGTGCGAGTTCAGCACAAGTCGTTTCCTGATATTCAGACTCATCAACCACTTGACTTGCTACACATAGATCTGATGGGACCCATGCAGACTGAGAGTATTGGAGGAAAAAGGTAAGCATTTGTGTTAGTGGATGACTTCACCAGATACTCTTGGGTTCGTTTCATTCACGACAAGTCTGACACGTTTGAAAGCTTTCGGATTCTGGCCTTGCAACTAAAGACAGAAAGAAAGAATGGGATAAAGACCATCAGAAGCGATCATAGGGGAGAATTTCAAAATGAGGTGTTTAATCGGTTCTGTAATGAACAGGGAATAGCTCATCAGTATTCTGCCCCACAGACACCACAACAAAATGGTGTAGTTGAGAGAAAGAACAGAACGTTGCAAGAAATGACAAGAGCAATGCTTCATGAGAATCAGGTTGCAAGACACTTCTGGGCGGAGGCACTGAACACTGCATGCTACATAATCAATTGGGTATATGTTCACAAATGAGTTGACAAAACACCATATGAGCTGTGGAAAGGAAAAACCCCAAATGTAAGCTACTTCCATGTTTTTGGCTGTCCTTGCTATATTCTAAACGACAAAGATCATCTTGGAAAGTTTGACTCACGCAGCACTGATGGAATTTTCCTAGGACACTCAAGCACCAGCACAACCTTCAGAGTATTCAACAAACAGTCTCGACAAGTTCAAGAAACTGTGAATGTTGTCTTTGACGATGTATCATCACATGGGCTGATCTATTCTCTGGAAGATGTGACAAGGACCCCCAGCCATGAACCAGACCAGGTCATAGCCACACAATCAGGGGATAATTCAGGCGCTCAAAATCAGGGTCAGGAGGGTGACGACTCAGATAAGGAACCAGCCCATGGAGATGGAGATCAGATAGAGTCGGAATCTGGTGAAACCAATGAACTGCCAACCAATACAACAGCAGTTCCAAGTGCTAAGATTTGGAAGGTTCTCAAAGATCATTGCAAGGAGCATGTGATTGGTGACATTGATGGTGAAAGAGTCACAAGGCATATCAAGCTAGATCTCAAGAACATGGTCAGGTTTGCAAGTTTCGTGTCCACCATTGAGCCCAGGAATCACAAAGAGGCATTGATTGATGAGTATTGGATTAAAGCGATGCAAGACGAGCTTGAACAGTTCGAACACAATCAGGTGTGGACATTAGTGCCAAGGCCATCGAGGGCTAATGTTGTTGGTACTAAGTGGATCTTCAAGAATAAGAATGATGAACATGGATATGTGGTGCGCAATAAGGCTAGACTGGTGGCTCAAGGATACTCACAAGTGGAAGGAATCGACTTTAATAAGACGTTTGCACCCGTTGCACGCTTGGAGTCTATCCGCCTTCTTGTTGGGATGACCTGCAAATTGAGGTTCAAACTGCATCAAATGGATATCAAGAGTGCTTTCCTGAATGGGTATCTTCAGGAAGAA